ATAAATTTAAACAAAATAAGCCAAAAAGTCTTTATTGATCGATGCGAATCAGGTAGGAATAAGATACCTTCTAATAGATGTGAGGAGTCATGATATTCTCCATTGATATATGTTATAAAGAGAGATTGACTCATATTTGAGTTACTAATTGATTTAGATAGGATTACATTACTATTTTAATTTTGTATAACAAGTATACATATACGAAGTATTTTTAATTGTTTTGAACATAAAAATAATTTTATTTATTTCCTTATAGCTTAGGTCAATTGTCTTGAGTATTATCTACTCTATATTTTTAATTTAGCTAATAAGGTTTCATTGTGTATGCCATTAATCTCCCCCCACCCCCTTATAGTGTATAGAAGGTCTAAAACCTTTTTTTCACATTTATTTTTTCTAATTTACATAGTCAAAAATTTGGAACGATTTCACGAAGTATATATTTTAAACAAAATTGATCATGGGGCTCTAAGCATCATATGATCTTAAGTTTTTCACCAAGTTGATCTCTTGACATAATACCAAGAACAAGTTTGGCAAGAAGGTAACAAGTTCATATTTCATCTACCCCTTTGTTTAAAGTGAAATATTTAATGTTGAGTATGAGTAGTAAGACACATGCATGCTACATCCATATTTCAAGTCTAAAAACATCTCTCATTGTAATAGAGTATATTAAGCTACTATGATTTTCAGTTTAAACTTTTGATTGAGTTAGTTCTTTATTTAACAAAAATTATGAGAAAACTTCCTCCTTAAGGACTCCTTAAAGAGCTTATTATGGCAAGATTATGTATTTAATCACTAAGTTAATGACTCCAATAAGAAAGTGATCAATTGAATAAATTAATTACTTCACTTTAAAAAATAACAATAGTTACTATCATTAAGATTTTGCATGGCATATTAAACATATAGAAATCACATAGGATTCCAAAACTTTTAGGGCAGTTGCTTTTATCTGGTTTCATTCTCTGACCTCTTAAGAGATGGTAAATCTTTAAACTAGTTAAGTTAGTAGTGGTCAAAAGGTGGACCAAAACCATTGATTAGTTGTTGTTACTACCCTCCATTACATGACTTTTAGTAAGATTCTTTGTCTACCTTTGAGCATAGCTTGCTTTATGTTGCTTCATGTGCTCAATTGACGTTTGTAGTTTTAAGACTATCTTACCATATCATTTCATTTCATGTCAACTGGGGTCCAATATTTGGGGGGGCTACCCTTTGCTCTTATAAGGTAGCTTCGTTAAAGTGGCTTTGCATAACTTGGAGACTCTTTATGTGCATAGATTAGTGTAGCAAATTATCGATTTCGTGTTCGAATTTAATTAAGTGGTTTTCGTTTTATGCTACTAATGAGGTGCTCAGTTTGTAGTAGACAAATCGATTTAAGACATATTCTAATAGTCTTTTAAGGAGTAGATTGATCAACTTGTCATATCGACCACGTATTTCATTCTGTCTTTTATCAATGACCCTATTTTAACATAATTTAAGGTGTCATTACTGTCATATAAGAGGCATACATGTTCAAATGAAATTAAGATGAATGAGAGCCATTTGATGATTTAGTTAAACCACAAAACTTGATATAAGGTAAATATTTTGAGAATGAAATCCATAATGGGCTAGCTATATGTAAAGAACATCATTAAAATAGGCCCAACATGTGGCCCCAATAAACTAAGGTGATAAACTTAGTATTAGAACCCTACATGTATGATTGAACATGTGCCATGCAAATATTATCCGGATATTTCTACATAACAAAACCCTTCATAAAAACATATACAAGTATAGATTTTGTGTAATAATCATTTCATATCCTAAATTACAAAAGGTGAGACAGTGTTATAGCTGATGCTAGATACACAATTATTATTCATCTCGCTTTTACAGTAGAATACAAGTTATGGAATGAGCCAAAAAATTTCCAATCTCGAAACTTATTGCCTCAATAGCATTGATACACACTCTCATATAGCTCTCATGTTTAGTCGTCTACTCTTTATCTTTCTTATACACCTTTTATTTGAAATTAATTGTCACGTTGATAGTATTATTTGAACTGATAATCTAACAGTTAATTTAAATGTAGATAGGAATTGAGAAGACGTAGCTAAACTAAAATGAAGATCTTCCATCATTTTAAAATGATTAAAATCATAAGAGGAGGAATTTGTGCACAAATTCGTTGGAACAAAGTGATTACAAATATAAATGATATACAAGTTTATATTGTGGACACGTCTAAAACATAAAATTGCATTGATGAGATAAGAAAGCGATAGACTAAACACAACTTTAATCATGAGACTATGAAATGCGAATTTAGGCCCACACAAGCAACAAGCCAAGTTTTGTTTGAATTCAGCGGATTTTATTTATTTTTATTTATTTATGATTTAAACTTAATTAATTTTATTAAAATAAAATTAACACTGTGATGGTCAAAATGGGTAACAAAAACTAGGTAGCTTTTACTCTCATCTTTATATGTAATGTAAAGGAAAAAAAGAAAATGGCTAATCCTTTTTGAGAATTTTTTTGCCCTCTTCTTTTTCTTTACAAATCCAAAAAAAAAAAAAAAAAAGGGTCTAATTTTGGTTGGTGGGCCGTATTTGACCCAATTTTATGATAATATTATGCATTGTTTGTTGTTGCTAGCAATGCCATATGCTTAATGCTTTGCCTACTTGAGGGCCTTTGCTTTTGAGCTTTCTCGAAAGCCAATTACTTCTTTCTAAGTTCACTTTAGGTTTTGCATATACTAGAGCTATCAAATATGTCATATCGTTCGATTCTTGTGGGTATTAAAACGCGACCAAAAAAAAAAAAAAACCTTTGTTTCCAATTTGATGTGTTTATTCATTTTTTAAGGGAATTTGACGTGTTTAATTAAGCATGTTAGAACCAATTTTTTTCTTTTTAGAAGGAAGCATGTTAGAACATATTATAATATGGAGTAGTTAAATAATGTATGTATTTCAATAGACTTACATAGGGGAGAAAAACTTAGAGGTGATCATTGGGCTAGTCGGGCCAAGACCAAAAAATTCAGCCCATGTCTCAAGCCGGGCCAAGATTCGGGCCATAAATTATGTGCCCAAACCCGCCCAAATTAGCTGGGTCGGGCGGCTTTTTGAGCCAGGCAAAAAAATCAACTAAAACTGCATAAAATCGCATTTCCCAGCCCGTCCAAGAAATTTAAAAACAGACCGGGCCTAGTTTTGGGCCTAATAATATGCCCGAAATTGGCTGGGCTGGGCTAGCGATCCGGGCTCACTTTGATTAGCTCTAGAAAAACTTATGATGATACATACAATTAAGCAATCTGGTTGACATTTAAAATTCTCTGTGTTGCTTAATATCTATTGCATGTAATGGTATGTTTAATCAGATTGAACAACTAAAATGGAATATGGAACTATAAGGACGGATGGGTAATCGATTGTAAAAATAGTACGGAGTATACTATGATAAATTTTCAAAGTCTATGTATAAACCCTTAGTGAAGAAGAGGTTGACACATATAAGCCTAACAAAATGTCATTATCTTAAACCTAAAATGTAAATATTCTGGCCAAGCTTATATACGTAGTCATTCATCTTAGTCATGTTTTAGGAAAACGTGCGTTTTTTTCATACATTAACATGTTGGCTCAATCTTATAAACCAAAGATCTAAACATTTATTAGATCAAAATTGACCCAACTAAAAAAATCAATCCTATAAAAGAAATGCCCCAATCTAAAATTTGATCCAATATGAAACTAACCAAACTAAAATCGACTCCATTTGAACCCGAATCCGACCTAACTAAACCTGAATATATAATTCAAACTTACATGAAAGTATGACATACATCCAAATTAACCCAATATGAACCAAATGACTCATTTGTCAGACCTTCTTTGATACGTATAATGGAAGGTGACAATCGTGATGAACTAATAAATGAATGTGAAGAATTGAAGATCACGTTGAGTATGATTTTGACGCGAAGTATATTAGAGATTTTTGGAGGAAAACTTGAGCTATGTAGTTTCTGAGAACTCTTATAAGCACCTGCATGGCTGCATGTGCTCACTGCTTAGTACAAAAGAGAGGTGCAACCGGATAACGGGATAATTTCTACGGAAATGATGTTATTACTACAAACTGGGCTAGCTATGCTTTGGTGACGTGGGCCTTTTGGGTTTCAAAATTCCCAATCAAATGGGCATGGCCGCATGTACGGGTAAACTTTCATGAGATATACTTGTAATCTTGTATAAAAGTTTTATGTCATATTTGGATATTCCCAACATTTTTGTCAAATATTTTAATTTTTGACATTGAAAAATTCTAACAGAAACATTACTTTAGAACGGAGAGAGTACATTACAAATATATAAAATATTAAAAACAGAGGATACACGTATAAGAGTATGTAAAGTTGAATGATATTACAAGTTCAATTTTCCACTCTACTCATTTGATCCGACATTGTTAATTTTGTTTGTACTTCCCTGTTTTCCATCTGCATTTACTTAAGTCATACAAGTGCACTCTTAAATGTTTTGTTAAAAGACATGATAGGGTGATTATTTCTTAAATCATCATAAAAAATGAATACAAAAATTACTCCGAAACTAAAATACATTAAGGTGCGCCAGATGTATGAAAGAATTTTTGTTACGGTCTATGGGATGGGTACTCTACACCCACTATAATGAATTTTATTTAATAAATAAGTCGTTTACAACACAAGTACAACTAGTACAAAACTTTAAACTCTTTGTTTTGATAATGTGAATGTGTGATGATATACAACATGTGCATGACACATGAACAAACTTCTCGATACAAATCGTTAGTAGGGTCCACAATGATGTCATATAGGAAAGGCACGGGCAATTTGGTGGAAAAATTTAATGTTTTTGGAAACTATAGATAATAATATATACAAGTATGAAAAAAATGTTGTAGGTGATATATAGTTTCTAAAATGACAACAATAGTAGATTGTTATTGCTAAAAAAATCCCAATAATGTATTAATGATCAAACTTGATATGTCTAAACATGTTAGTATAATAAAATTACATAAACAATATCTTATGTCACTAATCTCGGAATTGAAGGCATATAACATTGCATTAATGGATTATTACCAACAACAAAATACAACATTAATAAGTTACAATTACGATCTAATATCAAATTACATAAAGTAGCTAGGTTGCATCTTGAAAAAAAAAAAGAAACATACACACAAATAAAAAAATAAAAAAAAAACTCAACACCGTGAATATGATTCAAGTCTCTGATCTCATTGCAGTAGCTGACATGGCAACATCGGCAACAATCTTCAAAACATTCAGCATTGGCAGTTGGACTACTTGTAGATGTAAGCTGCAATAGTCTGTAATAGAGTAAGCACAAAAAGCATGAATGCAGCGATCACTGACAAAATTGTCCATGGATGATTGAAGTATTTGCTCCTCAAAATAGCCATCCATTTATGCCTACGGGTTGAAGCGTAGCGATTCAGATCTTCGCTGACATCGTAGTAATAATTCTTGCATGATGCAATCACATTTTTGCCAATATTGTTGAAAAGCTTTACAACATCATCATCACTTCCTAGTTGATTTCTAATAATATTGTTTTTAACTAACACTTGCACGTCTTCCACGGTGTCTATCAATTGATCAAGGAAGACAATATAGTCAATGAAGTAAGTATCTTCGTAATAATGGCACTGTTCAAAACAAACCAAGTTCCGCAGTTGAGATTCTATGTTATCATATATATTTAATTTCGAAATTGTGAGTTTCCCGTTAGCAAATGTTACATCAAGTGGATTCTCACTTTCACCTGCCACAAATGTGACTCCTGCGTCATATAGTTGCTTAGCAGTGTTTGAAACGATTGTTGGATTTGTAATTGGTTGGTTGCGCAATGGTGTGCTCAAAGAAAGGCGACAACACATCCATTGGAGATCCAACAAATGTGCAATATCTGATTCATCTGTAATTTTATTACCTTCAATAATACTCTTGATAGCCTTACATCCCAGGATACCGAAATGCGAACCGCCTATGAAGGTAAGAGTAGCATGAATAAGAGTAGTAGGTAGGTAGATGTGACCAAATGCTATATCAAAGATTCCCTTGAGCACAAAATATGGAATTTGGTTCTCCAACCTACTTACATCGTAACAACTATAGTTAAATTGTGGTGGCAATTGTTTCCATAATAGAGGCACTTTAAAATAATCTTGGCTACCTAACATGATTATGTAGATCAGGAATGCAGCATCAAGAACTATCATTTCAACAAACTCGTCGCTAGAGAGTCTAATTTGTTGTTGATAATTGCCGCGGATTTCAACTTCCTTCTCCCTTACAAAATTGATGTAAGGATTCACGCTTGTACAGCCATTTTTGGGATATCGAAGGAAGCCCTTCAAGAATAACCATTTAATCTTTTGCATGGGTTCTAGTTTTGGATCATTTTTATAGAATACGGGACCAATTGACATCACTAAAGGCTCATAAAAATATTCATGCCCCTTCAAGATGAATTCAGGAACTTTATAAATGCACCAATTCTCGTTAAAGAAAATAATCGAGTCCAGCTCCTTATGCATTGAAGTTAGCACCCCGTTGTTTTCATCTTGCACTATTATTTCATTTTGTAAAGTGTTGTTTTCCATCTGTATTAATTGTATAATGTAAGTATATGTCTAGTTTATTCAAATAATTTTATTCCAAAGCACTATATATATACTTATCAATAAGTATTGAACGTAATCAATACATGGAGTAGATTTTTCCAATCCCCAACATACGAAGCATAGCAATGATAACATATGCTTCACCTTATAGTTCTTATACCATTCAATCTTTCATCAAATTCAATTTACCTCAACTGAAAATTTAATTTTAGTTTTAAGTTTGGGGGTTAATTTAAAAAAAATAAAAATTGGTGGCACTAAGGCCATATTTTTTTCCCCATTAAAAAATATAATCTGTGCTTCGTTTTTTGCTTTCCATTTAGAAGCTTATTATAATTATTTATAATAAGATGAGAAAATCTTTTAAATTGCTCTCAATACATGGAGCATAATGTAACCATATTGGGTTTTACTTAATTCGTCTAAATGAATAGCTTATCAATATTTAATTGTCATACTTTTTACAAATTTGCAACTAATTAATAATTAAAATATTTATGTCAAAGTAATGCATTGACAATGTACACAATCAAAACGAGAAGAAAATTATAAAACAGAGAGAGTATTTAATAAAAATAATTAAATTAGTAAAATAGTTACTTCAACAAAAAAAAAAGTTAGATTTAGTTTTAAAAAAAGTTTCGATTTGGGTTTTCAAAAAAAAAAAAAAAAAAAAGGTTTCAATTTAGTTAAATAAATAACTTTAAAGAACAATGACAATAAATTTTAATCGATGAAAATAATTTAACTTCAAAAAGAGCATGCTTTAAATTATTAAGGGTACTGTGTGTTGGAATATTTGCTTTAAATTATTAGTGGTTAGTTAACCCCTAATGTAAAGGAATATGTTATCCTAAGTTATAAGTTTGTATTAGTAGAGTCAAAAGAGCAGTATGGATTAATGATCATGGGATCATACATGTTCCTAACTTTTTGCTAGTTTTGCTATATATACTCGTAATATTTGTTGTTATACGATACGGTTTTCAATGGATTAAATACAAGTTAATTTAAGCGTAGTATTATAATTTCCCCTTTCATCTATTTATAATTTCAACAGCTCAACTAAAATAATTTTGAAAATTGACAATAGAAAAATGAAAATACCTTTTTCTTATTTCTTATTTCTTGTTTTTGGTTTTTTATTTTCAAAAACACAGAAAACTGAAAGCAAAAAACGATGTCAAACAAGCTATTAAGTAATTAAGTTAAATTAATACCTGATTAAGAAAACATGACCAATGTAAGGGGGATATCAGAGCGATTCTCAACTCCTTCAATTATAGGGAGTATATTATGGGGAAAACTAAATGTGACAAACTAAAAAGTAAATCAAAGCATATTAAATTGAAAGCTTATCTTACATTCATATTAATTTCTTAATAAAAAGTAAGACAACATATTAAAAAACTCCATATTTAAGTTAAATATGAAAAGCAATTGTGGGGACTTACGGCAAATTGCAAAGCTGTAGCAACACTTGGATTAAACACGTACACTGCGCCTCGCAAGGTACCCGAAGAGAGTGAAATAAAAATAAACTTTGAATGAAAAATATTTAGTAAGCTTTAAAATTATTATATTTATGTGATTCTGAACATTGGACTGGTTTTCTTTTTATACTGCTTTCCAGCTTCAGCTTGACAATAATATTGTTTTACACTTACAATCAAAAGTAACGTTCAAACAAAGCAAATAAGAATATGATAAAGTAAATGCAACGATATTAGTTAAAGAATAAAATTGTATTCTTTTCCACAATTGTAAGATTTAGAAATACTTCTTTAATCCATTCAAGTTATTAAATATATTCCCTCTATCGTAAATGTTAATTGTTAAGAGATGATGTATTAACTACGATCCTGAGCGTGCCTTTCAACATTAGAGAGAGTCTAATTTTATAAGTCCAAAGAAACCTATCGCAAAATCATATGCTAGAAGTAGTTTCCCTCACATGAAGTAACTCTTTAGCCTAAAGTCCTAAATCTCAAACCCTAGGCATGACTCTGATACTATGCTAAATAAGGACTTGAGTCGCACACATTATCAATAAAGAGAGTCCACTTTATTAGTCCAATTAAGAGGGTTTTACCCCAAAACCAAATAGCAATTAAAGAATCTTTAGTCTTATAAAGTGCTTAACTCAGTCAAATTTTGTTAAGTGCATAATTTTTCAATTTAGGGCCATTATTATATCTCTATCTTCTTATATAGTTCCCTACTTTAGCTTTTTTTTATTTTTTAATTTTTTTTTATCTCACAACCCTTACTGTATAATAAATTATTAATCCAATATTTTTTTCTATTAATGTTATTAACCTACGCCCTATAGAGTATTTAACTAGCATATGGGTAGGGGTGTGTCCAAAATGAAACCATAGCTTTCAACTCATTTGATCCGACATTGTTAATTTTGTTTGTACTTCCCTGTTTCCCATCTGCATTTACTTAAGTCATACAAGTGCACTCCTAAATGTTTTGTTAAAAGACATGATAGAGTAATTATTTCTTAAATCATCATAAAAAATGAGTATAAAAATTACTCCGGAACTGAAATACATTAAGGTGCGCCAGGTGTATGAAAGAATTTTTGTTACGGTCTATGGGATGGGTACCCTACACCCACTATAATAAATTTTATAATATAAGTTTAACTTTAATAAATAAGTCGTTTACAGCACAAGTACAAACTAGTACAAAATCTTAAACTCTTTGTTTTGATAATGTGAATATGTGATGATATACAACATGTGCATGACACATGAACAAACTTCTCGATACAAATCGTTAGTAGGGTCCACAATGACGTCATATAGGAGGGGCATGGGCAATTTGGTGGAAAAATTTAATGTTTTTGGAAACTATAGATAATAATATATACAAGTATGAAAAAAACGTTGTAGGTGATAGTTTCTAAAACGACAACAATAGTAGATTGTTATTGCAATAAAAATCCCAATAATGTATTAATGATCAAACTTGATATGTCTAAACATGTTAGTATAATAAAATTACATAAACAATATCTTATGACACTAATCTTGAAATTGAAGGCATATAACATTGCATTAATGGATTATTACCAACAACAAAGTTACAATTACGAACTAATATCAAATTTACATAAAGTAGCTAGGTTGCACCTTGAAAAAAAAAAGAAACATACACACAAATAAAAAAAAAAAAAAAAAAAAAAAAAAAAAAAAAAAAAAAAAAAAAAAAAAAAAAAAAAAAACTCAACAACGTGAATATGATTCAAGTCTCTGATTTCATTGCAGTAGCTGAAATGGCAACATCGGCTTCAAAACATTCAGCATTGGCAGTTGGATTACTTGTAGATGTAAGCTGCAATAGTCTGTAATAGAGTAAGCACAAAAAGTATGATTGCAGCGATCACTGACAAAATTGTCCAAGGCTGATTGAAGTATTGGCTCCTCAAAATAGCCATCCATTGATGCCTACGGGTTGAAGCGTATCGATTCAGATCATCGCTGACTTCGCAGTAATAATTCTTGCATAATACCAGCACATTTTTGCCAATATTGTTGAAAAGCTTTACAACATCATCATCACTTCCTAGATAATTACTAATAATTTTGTTTTTAACTAACACTTGCACGTCTTCCACGGTGTCTATCAATTGATCAAGGAAGACAATATAATCAATGAAGTAAGTATCTCGGTAATAATGGCACTGTTCAAAATAAACCAAGTTCCGCAGGTGAGATTCTGTGGTATCCTGTATTTTTAATTTCGAAATCGTGAGTTTCCCTTTAGAAAATGTTACATCAAGTATATTGTCAGTTTCACCTGCCACAAATGTCACTCCTGCGTCAAATAGTTGCTTGGCAGTGTAACAAAGATGACGATTACAGTTATAATCAGCTTTCGTCTTGAGATGACGCTTACGCAGCCTATTACATAATGATGACGGACAGATCCAAGACATCACCTTGTGTATGTATGAATCTGAATCGGTTGTTGGATTTGTAATTGGTTGGTTGCGCAATGGTTTGCTCAAAGAAAGGCAACAACACATCCTTTGGAGATCTAATAAATGTTTAATGTTTGATTCAACTGTTATTTTACTACCTTCAGTAGTACTCTTGATAGCCTTAGTTCCAGGTATATCAATACCAATACAGTTTATGAATCCAAGAGTAGCACGAATAAGAGTAATAGGTGGGTAGATGTGACCAAATGCTATATCAAAGATTCCCTTGAGAACAAAATATGGAATTTGGTTCTCCAACCGAATTAAATCATAATTCGCATTAGCCATTTTTACTTTTAAATTATTCCCAACTAAAGGTACATCAAACGAGGAAGACCAGAGTATCAAGCAATGGTAGATCAGGAATGCAGCATCAAGCACTATCATTTCAACAAACTCATCGCTAGATAGCCTACTTTCTTGCTGATAACAGTTGCGGATTTCCCCTTCCTTATCCCTAACATAATCAATGTAAGGATTCAAGCTTTGATTAGCATTGATGGAATGTTGAAGGAAGCTATTCAAGTAAATCCATTTAACTTTTTGCATGGTTTCTAGTTTTGGATCTTTATAGAATACGGGACCAATTGACATCAATAAAGGCTGATAAAAATATTCATACCCCTTTAAGATATATTCAGGAACTTTATAAATGCACCAATTCTTGTTAAAAGAAACATTCAAGGAGTCCAGCTTGTTATGCATTGAAGTTAGCACCCCGTTGTTTTCATCTTGCTCTGTTATTTCATTTTGTTGAGTGTTGTTTTCCATCTGTATTAATCGTAGACTGTAAGTATGGAATATAATCAATAGATGGAGTAGACTTTCCAAATTCCCAATATACGAAGCTTAGCAATATTCTCTTCCCATTTAAAATAATACTCCCACTTCTTCTTCTTCTCTCTCTCTTTTTTTTCTTATCATTATTTATGCGATGAAAACCTTTATAATTGGAGTATACTAGAGATGGCAATGTTAAATGAATATCCGCTAATCCGCTCCACCCGCTTTAAATAATGGACGAAAACCCGAAATAAATAGATGAGAAGCAGGTGACGGATGAAGTGAATGATGGATCTGACCGGATGTGAATGATACTATTCTTCACCCGCTAACCATCCATCCACTCGTTTAACATACATTAATTTTTTTTTCTAAAAATATTAAAAATTAAATATGATAATTGTGTATGAATTTACTTTTTTCTGTTGAAACAATATGTTGTTGTTTCTTTTTTTTATTAATAAAAAAAAAATTGTATAACTAACTGAATATTAGATTTTATATGGATTTTTTTTTTCCACTTAAAATGTTCAACCATTAGTTATCCACTCCACCCGTTTCATTTACAAATGATGGACAGACGGATATGGATAATGGTTGAAGCGGATGACGGATGAATGTGAATGGAGCATTTGGAATAATGGATGGATGCGGGTGAAGCTCCACCTTATCCGAATCCGATCCATTGTTATCCCTAGAGTATACATAGTATTGCTCTTAATATATATAAAAAAAACACATAATATAGTCATATTGGTGTTTACTTAATACATTTCAATGAATATTTTATTTTAACTATGATACAATTTTTTTTAACTAATTTGCAACTAATTAAGTTATTTATGATCAAGGTTTCCAAAAAAAAAAAAAAAATATTTATGATCAAAGTAATGCATTGACAAATTTAAGCGGTCAAAATGGAAAGAACGTTTTGAAAAGGAGGGAATTTTTAATAAAAAAATAATTAAATTCTAAAAATTGTTATTTACCAAAATAATAAATTAAATTTAGGAAACAAAAGTTTGATTTTGTAAATTTAATAATTGTAAAGAACAATAATAATAAATCATGAATATAAACTTTAATCAGTGAAAATAATTTAACTTCATCCATTTTTAGTGATGAGAACAAGCCTTGTTTACGTCATCGTAATTTTTTTAATTTAAATAAAAATAAATTAACTTTGGTGAAAATAAGTCATTTTTTTTTGGAGAAAAAAAATAAGTCAAATTATTCTTCAACAATAAAACTATTAAGTTTAGTAAAATTAATAACTTCAAAAAACTCATAAAAAATTTGTTCAAAAAAAAAAAAAAAAACTCATAAAAAAGGAGAAACTATATAATCTCAATGAAAATATTTTAAGTAATTAAGTTAAATAAATACCAGGTTTAGAAAAAAGGACCAATGTAAGGGATATAAGAGCGATTTATAGGGAGTATAATATATATGGGGAAAACTAAATTAGACAAACTTAAAAAAGTAAGACAGATTATACTAAATTGAAAGCTTGTTTTACATTCATAATAATTTCTTAATAAAATGTAGGATAACATATTAAAATACTCAATATTTAAATTATATAAAAACGATTGCGGGGACTTACGGCAAATTGCAAAGCTGTAGCACCAATCGATTCAACACGTGCACTGCGCCTCGCAAGGTACCCCGAAGAGAGTGAGATGAAAAAAAAAATAAAAAAAAAAAAATTGAATGAAAAATATTTCGTAAAATGTATGTGTATTCTTTGCCTCGGGCTGGTTTACTTTTTATACAGCGAGCTTTTCAGCTTATAATTGACATTATTGTTTTACACCTAAAATCAAAAGTACTCCCTCTATTTTTTTAAGTGTTACACTCTGATCGGTATATAATTTTTGAAAAATTAATGGACTTCAATATAAGACATTGTAAGAAGTATTTTAAAAAAACTATTATAAAAGATAATGAGGTTAATATTTTATTAAACATAAATACTTATATGTGACTAGCCATATGGCTAGTGTGGCTACTTCACCTATAAAGTATTTAATTACATATTAAGGGTTCCAATGATGAGGAAACGGGGTTACCTTGATGTATAAGAGATTATTTCAATGGGAAAATAAGGTTACTCTCATAAAAAAGTCCATTATTCTTTCATTAGTCATAATAAAAAAAAAAAAAATTGAAAGAATAAGGGTTACTCGAAAGAACAAATGGGGTTACTTAATTTTTAATTACTTGATATTACTCGTACAATATATTTGGGATACTTATATAGACAAATAGGGTTACTCTTATGAAAAAATGAGGTTACTCATCCAAATAAATAATAACTACTCTTATAAATCAATGTGGTCACATTGTGTGGCTAGCCACACATAAGACTTAATATTTGTTGAAATGTAAGGAATATGAGAGGGAATTAAATAATAAAAAAAATAGTAGGGTGTTTAAGTAGGAACCATGAGATGAGAGAAAATTAATATTTAAATGAGTAAGTTGCTAAAAAAATATGTGTAATACTTAAAAAAAGACCATAAAAAGAAAGTGTAACACTTTAAATATACGACCGCAAAATGAAAGTTCATTCCCTCCGTTCCTAATTAATTAATACGTTTAACTTTTTCTTTTTACTATTAAATACTTATTTTGACCATCATTTTTAGTAATATAAAAAACAAGTTGTATCATAAAATATAGTGTTAAATAGATATTATATAAGTATTAATATTGTTACTACTCCGTAATATTTGATCATGTAGTCAAACTAGTGCATTGGCATGTGCAAGTTTGACTGTGTCAGTTCTATGAACAGAAGGAGTAACACAAAATAAAATACGAAGGGAGTAATAATTTTTGTTTTTATAAAATTCCATTAAAAATATGAAATTATATACTCCCTCCGTTAATTTTTATTTGCAACTTTGGAGTGTTTTGCAGTTCACGAGGCAAAACTTAAGGGGCAAATATTAGAGAAAGTAAATGAAGGTAATTAAAGTGATAGGAAAGAGAAAGTTGGCCCACCCACTTGCAAATAAGGGTAAAATTATAAAAATCAAAATTTTTAAATAAGGGTAAATATGTAATTTCTAGAGTTTTTGTTGACTAAAAATATAAAGAAAATAGAAAGTTGCACATAATGTTTAGCGGACTAAAATAGTAAAAGTTGCAAATAAAAATTAACGGAGGGAGTAGAATTTTAAGTGCAGATATTAAACACATTTAAATTTAAAAAAAAAAGGAAAAAGGAGTTGCCTAAGTCATTTAATTTCAATCAATTCCATTTTTTTTTTATTGATATCATTATTAATAAATCTTATTATTACAAATTTGTGCATTGCACGAGGCTAAAACTAGTATTTACGTATTTCTAAAGTAATTGTTTTTATCTACTAAATATATTTACATAATCACAAAACAAATACTCTCTCAATATATTATTACTTGATCCATTTCTCTATATGCGGAGTTTTAGGAAGAGTGAAAGGAATAAAATATGAAGGAAGTGAGGTTGGTGGAAGAATAAAGGAGTGCTTCTAGGCGCATAGGCGACATTTACTTGGTTTGTAAATAGGAGGGCAAAGGCGTAAATTCGCAAGGGTTGAGCTAAATGAAGGTGAGCCGACTTTTGTTTGATCCCGTTTCATTTTTGAATCATAACAAAGTACAATGTAGTACCATTAAATATTGTATTGGTAAATAGTACCATTATATAGGTAAATAGTATCATTAAATGTTGTAGTGCTATAAATATTTTTCAAATGGTACAAATAAATATATGTATATCAAATATTGTATCACTGTAAGATTTTTTTTTTTTTTTTTCCTCTCAATACCCGCATAATAAGTTACTGAGTAACAGATGTAGAAAAGTGACTGAGGAAAGAGTAGTAGTGTAGTACCGAAACAGTCAAACAGATGAAGCAATAATAATGTAGATTTGTAATTTTGTAAGTTGTGAGTGAAGGGATAAGGTTTGAGTGATGTTCGTTTGGGAGTTGAGAGTGAAGAAGGGATAAACTTTGAGTGATGGTTGTGAGTTGAGAGTGAAGAAGGGATAAGGTTTGAGGATTAAGGTTTGAGGGATAAGGCCAACAAAAACCTTCGAATCGAGGATTGTGACATTGGTCGTAATATAAGACCTTACGTAGGACAGATTATGTGTAATTATTGAACCCAAGTTTGGGAATTAGTAACACCCCATTATTCTTGTCAAATTTGATATCGAGTGGATTCTTACTCTCATGATCACTTGCCACAAATTTTACCCCTGCTGCGTGTAAGTCCTTCACTGTCATAGATTTGGCAAATTGGAATGAAAATTACCCATATTATTGTTGACAAGTTAATCTGTAGGTGAGTAACAGATCAGTACGAAGTGAATAAGGTTCTTGATGTTCGATCTGTTTTTCATTCTCTCAATAGCATCCCTAGTATTGACAATGTCATCTCCAAAGATCATATCAAAACTGGCCATGTATTTATGAGTAACATCCTTAAAGGAAGATGCAGATCTTCGAGTACGAAAAAGGGAAGCTGTATTCGTTCCCTGCTCGACAAAGCACCTAGAACCCTTTGCCAATCCTCCATTGGAGATGAATTTATGTTATAATCACAATAATAAACTTCCATGTGAGTATAAAAACATAATCTTGGTCCTCAACCACCAGCTTAAACTTTTGGTTGAGTTGATCATTTAACATGGTATCAGAGCCAACGTGACATAGAGGTCACGGGTTCGAATTTCATCCACCCCCCACCTTTAAGTGGAATATTAAGCGCTGGGTATAAGGAGGGCCCATGCTGCATCCACACTTCAAGCCCAACAGGCTCTCGTGTGATCGAGGGGACGTGATAGAGTATAAAAACATAATCTTAGGCCTCAACCATCAGCTTAAGCTTTTGGTTGAATTGGTCCTTTCACTACTAGAAAACAGGTCATTTCCGACGGAAAAATTCCGTCAGAATCACCCTGAATTCCGTCGAAAAACCCGTTTCCGACGGAATTTTCGTCAGAAGCCCTTTTGTAGGAAACACGACCTTTTCCATCAAAATTTTTTCGTCGGAAGAGGTTTTCCGGCACCGAAAAGTCCGTCGGAAACTGTTGCAAAAAAAAAAAAAAACCAGCACCACCAGCCCCAACCACCCTAACCCACCCTGTCGAGCCACCACTTCCCCACCTAACCAACCCCCTAACACAAACCATAACCCACCCAGAGTCCCAGATCCCCCCCACACTAACCACCACGCCTAACCACCCTACACCACCCATATATATACCAAACTCCCCACCCCACACCATCCACATCCAGACCCCCCCACCCAGACCACAAAACCCCGTAATCAACCCAGAACCACCACAAAAACCCCGTAACCAACCTAGAACCACCAAAAAAACCCCGTAACCCACCCAGATCCACCACCAAACATTAACCCTAACTTCCAAAACCACCACCGACACCAACCCTAAACCCCTATATATACCACCTTCACACACCAGCACCGACACCACCACACCAAAAACTCAAAAACTCGAAAAATAACTCCAAAAAACAAAAATTAGCCCAAAAATACAAAAATTAACACAACAAAATCGACCACAACCACAAAAAAAAAATCAAAACAGAATTTCATAGAAAAAAAAAACAATAATTAGATAACAAAAATTAGGAAATATATAAATATATAATTATTGTAATACCCGAATATTTTAAGATTATATCAAATATATTTTATGGCTAAAATAAGATATTTTAAATTATTTTATAAATTCGATCTTATACTCTATTTTTGTTATCCTATAAAAATTATCTTAAACCCTATTTAATATCTAGTAGGACTCTTGTTGTTTACTAAACTATAAAATTCTATATTTTTTTTTTAATCTGGTTGGGATCCTTATATTTATATTCTTTTATCTCTAATATAAAAAAAAAAAAAAAAAAAAACAAGCC